GCCACTGGACACAACCTGTTAGGTGTTTACATTCCTAAGATCTGCAAAAACGCTGCTCTAGCCTGCCCTGGGCTTTTCTTCAGACACGGCTTCTGTCAGAGTAGCTGGAAGCCTTTCCCACGCACATCACATCATGACTTGGGCCCACGGGTGCTGACTGACTGTCTGACTGAATGGAGACACAACCAGGTTGATACAAGCACTTCACGAGCTCAAATACTGGCACCAGTTTACTGAAGGTGCGCTCTGAGCCGGACCCTCAGAGGAGCACAGTGTGCAGGACAATAAATGAGATGAGCTTCCTGCTCCAGAGCAATTCACAGCCCAGAGAGAAAAGTCCGAGCAACATACCTTCTGCACCTGAGAGATACACGAGTCCTGGTGAGAGCTCAGGAAAGGGAGAGACCTGCTGGAGCAGTGGAGCCTGGCCAGCAGCTCAGGCAAGGGCCACCCCTTCTTCATCATGCTGGAGAGGCAGGGAGAGTGAGTCTCCTGCTGTTTATATCAGCGGGTTGACAAGGAGGGAGCGAGGAAGGAGACACGGATGGAAAATCAGGACATTTCCGTAAGCCTTAAAGTCCTGTCCATGTTATAATCAGCTTTTCACTTTATCAGGTAACATTTGGGTGTTTTATGACTAACTGAATATGTCTATCAATTTGGGCATAAAATGGTGATATATTAACTGTAAGGAATCTTCTGGGTCTTCCTTCACCCTTTGTCTCCTCATGGACACTTGCAAGGGCTGATTCTCATTTCTCAGCTCTTTTTTCTGCACCTATGATTGGTAGCAAACCACACCCAATGTAGCTCTCCTTTGAGCAGCTATGCTTTTCATGGCTGAAAGTTCTACTATCTTTATATCTCCCATCGTCCTGCCACTCACCTGTTTTCTTTTCTCAGGGATCTTTTTTTCTGGGCTGCCTGAGGGCTGGTCTATGAAAATTCATTCTCTTTAGTTGTTTATTTTGCCTCTGCTTCATCATAACAGACCTGTTAAGCCACCTCAGACTAAGGCAGTAGTATCCTGTATCCTGGTTTGACACACCACCTTGATTTCCATGTAGATGGTTATTTAGGGAATGTTAGGTTAACCCTTTGATGCAGTTGAGTCTAATTGTAAAAAAATGCCATTTTTTTTTTTAAATACCGAGTGGTTTGTGCCATGTGTGGAACACACTCAGAATGAGGCTTGCCTTTGCTCAAGGTCAATTCCTGCCAGTGCTCCCTGCTACTGCAACCTCATTCTTTTATTTATTGTTCTTTTATTTATTGATCCTTTCATTTAGCAAGTGTTAGTTAAGCCCTTCTGGTGAATGATGTTGATGAAAAGTCCAGAAAAATCAAAGCAGGTCTCCACTCCTTTGAAGTGAAGTTAGAGTCAAGAGATTCATCACATCATCCACGTGGGTGCTCCATTGTGACTGTGTCAGCAAGGTGAAGGAGAGGTGCAAGATGCTCTCAGACCCATGGCGAGATGGTTTATTAGGGAGGTTAAGGCCAAGTCTTCCTTGAGGACACGATTTTCCAGTGTAGATCTGAAGAATGTGTGCGTGTGTGTGAGAGGGGGTGTTCTAAGATATAGTTGGTGTGTGCTGTTACCGTAATGATAGCGGCTTCCCTCACTCTTGTAGCCCTTTAACCACCACGAGGTCTTGTCTTGAAGCCATTAAAAGGAATTCACAGATAGTTCAGATATGTAGACAGAGAGAAACCAACCTTGTTTAAGAAAGTAAAGAAAAGTTTATTTAGGGAGAAAGACAAAAGCAGAGACTTCCAGGTGTGATAAATCTAGGAGATTAAGGAAGCATTATGGAGTCATGCTTCGGGAATATACACTTTCTTTCCCTGATGATTCTAAAAAACCATCAGTCAGTAGGATTGGTGAGTTCTCAACTGCTACTGTGCTTGCAATTTGCATCACAGGCCTTTTCAGAGAATTTCCCCTTTCCATTATCCTCATCCAAGAACATACATTGGCCCTGATTTCGGAGTATTTGATTAGCCCACTTTGGAGTTTGTTACACGTCTCTATAGAGCTTCCCTTATTCCTTTTGTCCTCCTGCTCTCAGAATTCTCTTGAACTTTCTGAAGTCCTGCCTATCTGTCCTTAAAGCTGGTGAGTTAACCCTAACTTGCCTTAGGAGTCAATATGATATACCAAATAATGGCTTCTGAACACATTCACATTCCAATCCCCAGAATCCTTGAATATATTTCTGTAAATGGCATAGAAGATGGACCAGTTAGGATACTGAGAAAGGAGATTTTTCTGGATAATCTCTGGTGGCCTCCAGTGGTGAGGGCAGTCCTTATAGGAGGGAGACAGGAGGCTTAAGTCAGGGAACATGTGGCCATGGAAGCAGAGGTTGGAGTCAAAGAAAATACTGGAAGCTGGAAAAAGCAAGAAAATAAGTTCTTTCCAAGTATTGTTATAAGGAATGAGGTCCTGGTGGCACATTATGGCTTGAAAGGCCTTGAAGTGTCAGACAACAGCTCTGTATTGCTCTATTTTCTTATAGCAGCTACTGGAGCTAATACACACTCGTGTGCTATTTCAGCAATATTTACAATCTCCAGCTATGGAAACAACTTAGTGCTCCGATGAGTGGATCAGGAAGATATGGTACACACACACACACACACACACACACACACACACACACACACACACACTCAAAGGAATACTACTCAGCCATCGAAATGGATAAATTCCTGCCATTTGCTGCAACACGCATGGAGCAGAGGGGATTATACTGAGTGAATTACGTCAGAGGACAAATACCAGACAGTGTCACTTATATGTGGACGACAGAGAAACTAAACCAAAGGTCACACAAAGCCAAACTAAGAGCCAACCCTAGAAACTGAGTGTAGAGAAGGGGCAATCGCAGTCAGCTATGTGCAGTGTTCACAGAGGAACCAGGGTCATCTGTGCACTGATTTATACTCATTCTGCACTGCTTCATTTAGTCTCCACGAACTTCTTTCCCTTTGATGGTGCTATTGTCCTGCCTCCCGCCTTGAGGAAACCAAGGCACAGGAGGCTAAGGGCCCTTTCCCAGGCTACAGAGCTTATGACTAGAGGGAACCCACTAGACAGCCACTGCATTTCCATATATAGTGTGTTTATGCAAACATGTACTTGCTAACCCAAAGCAGAGCCGGGGCTGGACCTCACCGGGCTTTGAGAAGGTGAGTGACGACTCAGAACGTGGCTCCCCACCGCCTCAGATCTGCTGAGGACCCGCGAAGGGGACACCCGTGCACACACAGGACCCAGGCTGCCAGGCGCGCAGACTGTGCTCGCTGGGGCTCCCCCTCCACCCCTGCCTCTCTCCTGGCTGTCTCCAGGCCAAGCGGCCCACGATGTTCCCGTTGCAAGGCGCCCAGATGCTGCAGATGCTGGAGAAGTCCCTGAGCAGGAGCCTCCCCGAGTCCTTGAAGGTGACAGTGGGCGCTCCTGGGCAGCAGGGGAGGCGCCCCCGAGGGGAGGAGAGGGCTGGAGCCGCCCTGAGCCGCGCAGCCTCTGCTGCAGGTGTCCCCTGGTCTGGCTGCATCGTCTCCTCCGAGGCACTTGCCGTCAGGCCTGGTCGCTGTGGAGGAGCCGGAGGCTCAGGGGGGCCCGGCCAGAGGGGCAGGTGAGCTGCAGCGCTCTGGGGGACACAGGCGTGCCTGGGCCCGGAGCTGCCTGTTCTCTGGGCTCCGGGCCCCCACGGCGCGTGGGGTCAGGGCCTGTTCCTCTGGGTCACGTTCAAAGTGGCGAGCCAGTTGCCTCAATACATCGAAAACTGAGCGACACAAAAGCTTCCCCTTGCTGCTCCCCGAGAAATAGCCCCTCACTGCGCCTGATATTTGCCCGGAGTTTTCCTCCCAGCTGGCTGAGACCATTCACCATTCACTCTCCTCCCTGGAAGACCAGTCCCCTGGTGAGAGTTTACCCGCCCAGGGTTTTCTTTGAAGATCTCTAGTCAGCCATGGTCAATTCCTACGATTGTTGACTCACACTTTCCTTTGCTGAGCAGTTACTGCAGGTCAGACCGTCTTGTGACTGACTGCCAGGAACTCCTGCCTTAGGAAAGTGATGGAAATCTCAGGATTAAGAGAAACATACACAGAGAGGCCGTGTAAAAGCAACCTGATGGCAGCACATTGCCGTTGTGTTTTCGCTACCAGTGTAACAACGAGGACACCCACAGCGGAGCCTGTCAGCTCTGTGTGTCTGCTCATCGCTCTTTCTCAATTGCAGACTCAGGGCGCACATTCTCAGCTGATCAAAATGAAGAAAGTGTGTATGCTGGCGCTTTTAATCATCGTATAACATAGAACTGAATGCTTAAGTATCTGTTGAGGAAAAAATTCATGAATTCTTCAAGTGTTAGAAGTTAAATGCAATGTGTTGAATTTTTCAAAGCCAGTTGAGTCTAATTCAGTTTCTGACTCATTATGTCCTTAGTTCATTAGAAAATAGAAAAAGAATTTTAATTACACCATGACAATAAGAAGGAATATCACTTCCCATCATTTTAGATTTTACAGCGGGATTTTACAGCAGATATACCACAGTGTAAGTCTGTTTTAAAGGCTCCCCAGGCTGCGGCTGCAGGGCCCCAAGTCCCTGCCCTAGAGCAATACCTTGTCACCCCCGCTGTTGGTAGGAGATCGTTGAAACTACCACACGGTAAGGTGGACACGTATATTAAAGTTTTAGACGTGTGTATAAACTTTGAAGAAGCAATAAGTATTCTGGACTCTCAGAACACATCAGGGGTCCCTGCAAATATTGCCTGTCAGCATGTTCTGTGAGCAAAGACGTGTTACTAGGAAAAGTTGGAACAGCTGGAATGGCCGTCAATAAGCAATGGAAAAGCAAAATATCTCAATACAGCTCGAAAGTGGAATGCTGGCAAACATTACACACTCACTGGACGTTTTGTGTTGATGGACAAAAAAAATGGCCATAGCATAATCACTTAGGAAAATGTCAGCTTTGAGATAATTTTGTTTTTGTAAAGTTATGTACTTTTATGTGCGTGATTAGAAGAAATCTGGGTAAACGTAAGATTTAATCGTTTACTTATTTAGTCGGACATTTTACTACATGCACATTTGGGTCATGTTGGGTAGGGAGAGAAACTACGATGACTGAAGGGTTAGAGATACAGCACATAGAGATTATTTAACCTCCAAGTGCAGTCTCACCCGTTTCTCTTGCACAACCCTGTGACTGTCCAGATTACCTTGCCCTGATGGTGCAGGGGGAGCTCTGCCCTCCCTCCCCAGCCAATGACCCCTCCCTTTCCTGGGGTGCTGCAGGTCTACGGGACTGTCTTCCACATGAACCAGGGAAACCCATTCAGCCTCCAGGCCCTGGTGGACACGTGGCCTGACTTCAGCACCGTGGTCATCCGCCCCCAGCAGCAGGTGAGGGGTGGGGGGAGGGCGCCTCCTCTACTCGGCCTTGCCTTGGGCCCCTGCACCTGGCAGCTTACCTGGGATGCGCAGGTGAGTTGCATGATGGTGAACAAGTCCCTGTCTCAAGAAGCCCGTGGGCGGGAGGAGGCAGAGATGAGCAACGGGTGGCGCGTGCAGGACAGAAGGGGTCAGCACGCGGAAGTCAGGCAGCTCCACTGCGGAGTCTGGGATGCCGGGAGACAGCGCGAGGCTGCTGGGAACCGGCTTTGGTGCACGAGTATGTTTTGTCAAGCGGAAAAGAGGACAGTGTGAGTGGGGAGATAGCAAGGGAAGATGCAAAGGTGTGAGTGGATGGTGAGTTAGGGTGATTGTAAGACAAATGTCCAATGCTACAATCTCTGTGTGCTTGTAGGGAAACATTTATTTAAAAATTGGTGAATGTAGTTGTTAGTACATTTCATACATAAAAATGCCTAAGGTATCTTAAAACATGAAGTAAAATTATACATTTATATAAGTACAAATAGGAGACCTTTAGTCTGAAGACTGAGCTGAAGTAAAATTGGTGGAATTTAATCCATAATGGGATCATAGGTAAAAAAAAAATGTGTTATTAGTATCACAGCTGATATGTGAGGGAATTTCTGGGCTATGTATTCTAGTGATTTAAAAAAATTTTAATGTTTTAACAGTATGGATGATATTTTTCTTGTGCCACCTACTTCAAATTAATCTCATCTACTATTTAATAATTTGCTGTGTTTTTTTCTAAATAAGTCAAATATTTGTTTATCTGAAAATATGAATTGTTTATCTGTGTCTCCTTTTAAGAAAGCATTGTTAACTGGCTTTCATTTTTTTGGCTAATTAGGTATGGCCAGAGATTTTATTCCAAAATTACCTATAAGCAAGACTATTAACATCGCATTTATAACTTGAATTTTCTAAATATGTGAAACAACAAAATTATTTTTCAATACAAGATTTTCATTGCCAGTGACTTTTGTGTTTTTTCTGTGTAAAATAAAATGTCAGTAGAAATAAAGGCTTTCTGAATATCTGTATCAGAGCTATTTTGAATTTCAGTGCTGTAAATGGGTAGAGAATAGGATTAGTCTGTAATTTTTCATCATTAATCAAATACTTGACTCATTCATTCTGATCTCATGATGATATCTACTAAAATTATGAATTTATGGAAGTGCAAATATTATATCTTTTATATCAATAACTTTGTTTTAAAATCTTAGAAATTTGAAATAAAATTAGTATAATTTAATCTTTAATAGGATCATACGTAACAAAATATGTGTTACTAGTATCTGTGAGTGCACTTTGGTGCTATATTTTCTAACTATTTGTAAAAATTTCTAATTTTGCACTAGTGTGGTAATATTTTTCCCATGTCACTTGCTTCAAAACAATCTCATTGCTCCTTAGTAACTTGAGGCGAACTCTTTAAATAAGTCAATTATTGTTATGTGATACTGCAAATATTTAGCGATATATTCTTTTAAGAACATTGTTAATTGGCTTTGATTTTCTTTGGTTTCATTGGTTTTGCCAGAGATTATGTTTCAAAATAACACATAACCAATAGTCATATCTAGTGTTTTTCAAATATGTTAAATATAGTAAAGTTTTTATTGCAATACAAGCTTTTCCTTGTCAATGACTTTTGTATTCTCCTTGTGGTAAATGATGTCAGTAGAGAAAAAAACTTTCTACATATCTGTGTCAGAGCTGATTTAAATTTCAATGCAATGGATGGTAGAGAATAGGATTAGTCTGCATTTTCCATCATAAGTCAAATTCCTTACTCTCTCATTCTGATCTCATGATGTCAAATATTCAGAAGAAATTTAATTGACCTATAAAATTCTAACATAAAATAATTAAAATGTCATAGTATGATGAAATTATGAAAAGAGTTTGGCTCTCATGGCATATAAGCCCTCTGTTTTATTCCATCCCTGATGCCACAGGAGATGACGGACGACCTGGATCACTACACCAACACCTACCAAGTCTTCTCCAAGAATGTCAGGAAGTGCCAGGAAGTCCTGGCCTCCCCGGAAGTCATCAACTGGAAGCAACACCTGCAGATCCAAAGTCAGTCACTGAGGACGCGCCCTGCTCCCCGACTGGCACCGTCTCCCGTGACCGGGGCCCCCTGGGCGGCCGGCAGGTGTTTGACTCGGGTGCAGCCTCACCCGAGAAGCAGAGAGGTCGCGCTCAACTCGCACAGAACAAACAGGCTCTTGCGCATGTCCGCTCACTCTCCCCGCGCAGCCTCCTGAGAATCCGTGGGCGGTGGCTGTGTGGCTTTGCTGCATCACTTCCACGGGTCTCCCGTGGGTGGGCTCAGGCAGCCACAGTCGGGGGGCTGCAGCGTTGGCCCTGGCTGAGGGGACAGCGAGGCTGGGTCATGTGCCCTCGAGGCTGGTGCCCCTCTTACTGGGCTGCCTGCCGACAGCCTGAGCTCGGGGGCTCCAGCCCCCCAGGCAGGCGTGGGCGGGACTGTCCCTGGGCCTGGTGCTCCCCCATGGAAGACACAGTATGTGACAAGTCAGGGTAGCCAGCAACCATTCTGGGGTTACTCGGGGGTTGGGGACCCACCGGGTCACTCATGGCCCAACTTATATGGGGTCATAGAGAGCGCTGCACGGTGCTGTGCCTCTGTGTGTAACTTGTGAAGCATAGAGGACTGTGCCCAGAGCTGGCGCCCCAGGGCGTGGTGTGAGAAGGAATGTCTGGACACCATGTCACTTCCCAGAAAGAGACAGTGCAGGCCCGAGAGGTGTCTTTGTCACTCAGCAGAAGCCCTGAGCATACAAATGTTCCCAAAGCCATACAATCACCCCTCCAGCAGCGTCCCTCAGGGAGACAAACGGCTCATTCCCTGCTCCGTAGGTTCTCAATGCAGCCTGAATGACGTGATCCAAAGTCTTGCAGCCACTAAATCCCTGCAAGTCCAGCACTCCCAGAACATCCTCTTTATGTGGGCAGAGACTGTAAGGAAGCTGGCTCCTGCCCTGCTGGAGGGGAAGAGCTTGGCCCCCACGGGCGGCAAACACAAAGCCATGTGAGTTTGCACAGCAGCCATGCAGGGCTCCCTCTCCCAGCCTGCGCTGGCCTCAGCTTCTCTCCCTGCTCCTCTGTGGCCTCCCCACAGCCAGTGTGTCAGAGGGGCCAGAAAAGTCTTTGGCCAGTGAAATGTAACTGATTCATCAGGTGGGTTCCCAGGCCCCAAGGTCCCTGAACTCTGGTGAAGCAACCCCACTACCTGACCCAGTCACTTACCGTCCCCCGGGAAACTTCAGGCCCTGTCCACTGCCCTGTCTCCTCGTCCTCCCCCCTCCCAGCACACGGCCCCCCGAGTCCCTCTGGGCTCAGCTCCCCACCCCAGGACCTGCATGCGCTCCCTGCTTCTCTTCCCTCAGGACAGCCAGGTGAGGACACGGCGACCTTCTCACTCACGGACTGTGCTTTTGTCTTGACCCTCCCCAGCAACGAAGCCCTCTTCAGGCCCTCTGCCCTGGACCTGCCCCACGCGGCCCTGGTGAATGAATTCTGGGATTTTGGCGGCAATGAGCGGAGCCGGAGATTCATCAGGCGCTGTATCAGGACCTTCCCCTCCTTCTGCCTACTGGGGCCCGAGGGGACCCCGGTGTCCTGGCTCCTCATGGACCAGTCAGGAGAGCTGCGTATGGGGGCCACATTGCCCAAGTACCAGGCCCAGGGCCTCATGGCCCACATCATGTACACCCAGTCCCAGGCCATGAGCAAACTGGGCTTCCCCGTCTTTATTCATGTAGACAGGAGGAAAAAAGTCTCTCAGAAAGTAGAGGTCTCTTTGCCTTACATCCCGATGCCCTGTGACTGGAACCAGTGGCACTGTGTCCCTCTGTGACAGCCTGACCAGGCCATGCCAGGTGGCTGGGCCCATGTGGAGGGTGATGGGTGGGCAGAGACACGTAATAAACTGTCATCATAGTAAAGCTGTGGTGCTGGTTCATCGTGTGGAGGTGGGGTGAGGGGTCCCCAGGCCAGAGGGTCCCTGAGATCCAGCAGGATAAGAAGCCACAGCTGCTCTTGCAGGGATCCATCCACATATTTAGTTCCCACCCTCCCAGGGGCTCTGCCACATTCATCAGTGCCAGGAGACCCAACGGGTTCTGGAACGGGCTGGCAGGGCAGGAGGCCGCATGGGAAGATGGAACTGAACCCACCTCCCCGGGTTCTGAGATCAGAGCGCCAAAAAAGCCCCAAAGGCCAAAAGTTAGGGGTTATAGAACAACACCCACACCCTCGGGGCCTACGGGCTCGAGCCTGCAGAGGACAGTGTCTGACAAGGCGACAGCCACTGTCCGGGGACTCTCAGTCTTGGCAATAGCAAGAGGCCTCAGGCTCCAGGAACAGCCACCGCGGGGTTGATTTTACACACGGGAAACAAAGAGCTTATTGTATCCACAAGGGGCCGGCTATCTCGGCCAGACAGTGTCAGTGATGTGGTCACCAGTCACCGGAGTGCTGGACAGCACCGGCCAGATGGTGGGCACTACCGGTCCCTCAGAGTTGGTGTCAGAGACACACAGTGTTCACAGCTCCTCTGAGGGGGTGGGGTGACACACAGCACACAGGCCACGGAGGCACCG